ATCCCAGAGCTGCAGCCAAGGTGGGTGGAATATCGCTTATTGTAAAGTTCAAGTGAATCACAGGCAATATCACACTCCCCGCGTTTGGCTGCTACGGAGGCCCGCGGGAGCCAGTTTAGCTCGCTGTAAGTCAGTTACAGAAAGAGCGTTCCAAATAAATCAGTCGCTACTGAATGCCATTCATTTAGTTTTGAGTCACTAATCCGCCTCGCACCGCCGATGACAAAATCAGTTACAGGCTGCGAGTCTGGGGGGAGGAAAGGAAGAGAAAAAAGAAAAAGAAGAAGAAGAAGCTCGTCTCTTCTGCTGTGTTGTTGTGAAGTTGCTAATCTTCTTTTACAGTTTGACGCAGAAAACGTTCAAAATGAAATGTGTTTATTTGTTTTTTATTCTGAACCGTCCTGAGCTTGTTCGTGTCGGTAAATCTCGTGTTTGAGTCCAACAGGAGGAAAACGCAGCTCTCCATTTTTAAGGATATTCGAAAAGGCCATCGACGTTCGGATGGCGCCGGCAGTTGTCGCGGTTAAGGTGTTAATGGAGCCTTTCTCTGCTAAATACCAAGCGGCGCGTGCTTCAGACCTCCTCGGATTACGTGTCGAAAATGTGTCAGCAGCACAATTAAATTGTTCCAGACTGATTTTCAAAGACTGTCTGATTTTTCAACGTTGTCGTCTGGTGCAGTGTTTCTACAGGAAGCCCACTTCTGTTCCATGTTGGTGCTGAAACCTGTTTTAAAAAGTTAAAGGAAAAGAAAAGTTTTCACGCTTCCTTGAGGTGAACGGCTGCACGACGGGGGACGGAGACACCTTTTTTTTCTCTCGAATGTGTCGAAAATTTCGTTGTTTTTCGTGTGTTTCTTGCCAGCAAACGTGAGATAATAATAATTACAACTTTGTAGATTAAAAGCAACTCCTCGAAGAATTCTCTGCATTTTTGTCTCGAATTCTTGTTTATTTCGTCTTCGTTTGTTTTTTTTAAGCAGCTGACAAACAATCCTTTTGCATTCCAAACTGCAGACTTTTGTATTAACTGTTTGTGGCATTCTTTCTTAAAAAAACATGAATTTTTCGAACAAGAAACAGGAAAAAAAATCTTTTAATCACAATAATAATCAGATCAAACTTCAAGGACTTGAACTGCAGCCTGTGTTCAGTCTCGAAACGGGTCCAAAAATCACAAAATAAAAACATGCTTGCGCCGTAAAGTGTGGCTCGGTTCTGAAATAGTGAACAGAGGAGCCAGTCGTTGGAAGATGCCTTCAACATCTGGATGTCTAGAGTCTTGAGGAAAAACTATACGTACTACAACTCAAAAAGCACAAACCGTTGAACGTAGTGGTTACGTTTACAGACTCTGGTATCTGACTCCGGATCTGTGGATTTAAACCACATCATGGTCGAGATGTTTGGCGCCATGGTGGTTGGGTTTTTAGGGATTCAAGCTGCCACTGTTGGGCTTTTTATACCTCTATCTGCTCCAGGAGAAATAAGAGTGCAAGTCATGACTTCTTCTTCTTCTTGGGACGTACGACTTTGTTGACACCTTAGACTCGATCAATGCCGTCAAAACCATGAACTCAGCAGCTCTAACCTGTGATATTTATGATGCAACTGCAAAGGATTGTGGGTCAAACAAGCATGCCGGCTTGAACACTGCAACCTGGATGTAGCTCGGCATCGTTTTCCGTCCCCGTTTCCTGCTTCTTCTACTCTGTTTATTACCGCTAACGTAGCCCACACCGCCCCCTTGTGGCGACGCCGTGCAGCCGAGTTCCTTCGCCCCAAAAGTTGGAAAACACAATAAAAGCTGCACTCATGAAACACACGGTGGCACGTGTAAGTCACACCTTACATGAAAGGATGAGCCGGTGCAGCCACCTGCGCCTCCACATCCCTCGTTTGTGTGAAAGTCATGTAGGAATCTGTCGGGCCGCGTTCGTCCGCGGAGGTGTGACCGTCCAGGTTTGCTAACATGTCGGTAAAGTGTGTGTGTGTGTGTGTGTGTGTGTGTGTGTGTGCTTAGCTGACCTTGGTGGCGGCGCTCCCTCGGGTGGGGGGGAACTGATGTTTCTCACTCCGCTTGTCAACAAGATTAGTTCCCCTGTGGGACCGTTACACACCCTGCAAACATGCTGCCAACGAGAGGAAGTGTGTGACAGCTCGGCCCCTCCGCGAACCCGCCGCCGCCGCCGTTGCCATTGTTGTCGTGGTGTGTGTTCGTGTGCGATCGAGGGGGTTAAGGGAGTCGGAGAGGATGTGTGTTTTAGAGCAGAAACAGAAGGGGGAAACAGCAGGGGGATCAGCGCAGCCAGCCTGAACCGCAGCCCGCATGTGCGATATGCGTGCATGCATGTGTGCGCTGGGTTTGCGGGCGAGCACACGCTGAGCTCTGAGCTGTGCTTACTCCTGGACCGGCCTCATCTGCATCCGTCTCCCACCTTTACCTGCCTCCCCCTCCTCCCCCCATCTGTCTGTTCCTGCCCGGCTGCTTGTTGGACTCCAGCTGTGAACAAGGCCGACGGAGGGGATGGCAGGCGGTTAATGTAGTCCAGGTAGTTCATCGCTGTCACCGTTTACTCTGCGGAGGTGGAGGGGTTTTTTTCTTTCCCCCTATTCAACCTTTAAAATCCAAACAACACATATACACAGATTTTTTTTTGTTGCAGCTCAGGACAAGAGGTCCAGCTTCTAAATCTGCACTTATAACTGGATGTCTGCATGTTGCTCGTGGAGCTTTTTGAGCCATTTCTACCCACCGAGGGCTCATTTTTCCACTGCAATATTATTTTTTTTTATCTGGATTTGCACAGAATAAGCAAAACCAACACGCTGAATGTGTCTTCCAACAACTTTCGCTCCTCTGTTTACCATTTTTGAGCCATGCCGCGTTTGTTTAATTGACCAAAAATGTGTTATTTGTCTATCAATCTCTGTGGTTTGCATCCATACTTTGTTTTATATGCTCGGTGTATACACAGCCTGCAGCTCAGTAGAAAAATTCTACGATTTTTTGCAGCGATATCAGTGAAGACTCGTATATTAAATGCTCTTCTGCAAACAGTTTATCTTTGACAACTGTGTAAGTGAGACGTGTGAAATTGCTCGCATTTTTCATATCTATATTAAAAACATATTCATATATTAAGCTTAGATTTGGATAATTCATTACATGATTAGTTCAGGGACTGTGGGAAAGTTGAAAATCCACTGATTCTTCTAGTTTTTATAGTTTCTGGTCGTTACAAATGGTGTAGTTTTGGGGGGTTTTGTCCATTTGTGGAGTTCAGGGCTTTAGCATCTTTCAGATTTGTGTTTTAGCCCAAACTTTGCCCTTTTAGTTCAGTCTCATCGCTCTCATCTGAGGTATTTCCAGGCAAAAAAAAAAGATAGCAACAAGCTGGTAAACACGGTGGAGCATTTAGCAGCTGACAAGACCGATATTTGTGTCTGGATTTAATTGAAGACCATGTTGGAAAGCTTGTTCTGCTCTCCAAAAAAAATAACTTGATCAGCTTCGGTTTTCTCCGAATCTAATTTTCTTAACGTCTTGTAAATAATAATAATAATAAAAACCAAACCTGGTTTCTGTAGAATCTCCTTCGCCCTCCAGAAAGACACATTTTTGTGTTTCTAAACAGCTCTTTTATACGTTACAAAGGAGTTTGCGTGAGTCTGATAAATCAGCTCGACTGCAGACTTATTTGTGCTATAAGAAAACGCCGTTCTGTCACCGTGCCTCCAGTCAAAGAGTGACTCATTACAGTGACGTGAATGGATGCTTCGCCCGGCAGAAGCTCCGTCAAACAGTTGTTTTTATGCACATCATGGAAATAATGCAGCTTTCAAAGATGCTAAGCTAACGTGCTAATCGTCTCACCTCGTCGTCTGTTCGCCAAAACGTTGGAACAATTCGGTGAGCAGGGGGGCGGTTTTAAGGAGCTGTGAAATAAAACGGAGGCGACGCATGAATAGATAAATAACCGTCGTAAGGTTTTAAGGTCGATATCGTGCAGCTGTAACTTGGTTGAACGAGCCCGCTGCCTAATGTGAGCGTGAGGTGAGGGAATAACAGCCCCCAGCAGCTGCTTCAAAGACCCATCCAGATTCCCTTTTTTTTTTTCTTTTTGCAGTCTGGCCGCGCACATCCACATTGTGAGTGTAGATCAGCCCTCAGTCACGGCCCTGTGCTGCAGGGAGACCGGAGTGATGGAAGCAATAGTTAAGCCATTAAGGCAAACAATTGGCTCAAATTGAGAGGGAGAGCGAGAAAAGAAGAGGAAGAAGAAGAGAGAGGGGAGAGAGGGAGGGGAGATGGAGAGGCTATGGCAGGAGTGGATCCACTCAACGACTTAATCCGAGCCCCAGGACACTCTCCTGCTGAGCTTCACACACTTGGACAAACATCTACACACTCGCACTAAAGCTCCGTCTGCCTCCAATAACACCTTGTCAGTCTTGGCCACGGGGGCGGCGGGGGGAGGAAGAGGCGCTCATTCCTTTATGGTTAGAGAGTCACCTACTTCCAAGCACCTCGGGGGGAAAAAAAGACGGAGCGTGCAATCTGCACAAGACAGCTCTGTGAGCATTCGTACGCCTTATGGCCGCTGCTGTGAAGCTATTCATTGTCTTAGCGGGGCAGAGTGAGCGGCGGAGGGAGCACAGGGCGGACAGTGTCCCGGACGAGGGGAGGCGCTCCTCTGACACCGGCTATTGTGTCGTCTCCCCCGTGGACTCGCTCAATCCCCGCAAGCCTCGCATAAACAGGCAACAATGAGGGATTGTCTCCAGCCATTCCCCGTCTTTCCGCGCCTTTGCTCGGCTCGTGTCGTGTCAGAGGGCGAAGGCAATGATGTGCTGCCGCCTGAACCCGGCGACCGCCCGTCCGTCGTCGCCTATGCGTCCAAACGTCAGGCAGTGACAGCGGGCGCTTCCCGTCCCTACTCTCCCAACCCCTCGGGGCTCTCGGGGGGCCCAGGCGATTTATCGGACAGCTTAGCGAGGAGCGGTTATTCGCCCCGAGGACTGTTAGCACCGGTTTGGCTCGTTGACTCCTTCTCCGGCTCTGGCGTTTTTATTTGACATGTCCTTTAAGTCCTTTAAAGAATTGGGCGTTTCTGCCGAGCGCCTCGGCTCTTTCTGCAAAAGATGGATGGCCCGCGTTCAAAGGTCTGGATGTTTTTTCCCTCCCCCTTCCCAGCCTCCCTCCATATCTCTGCTTCCCCCTTCACTCCTTCTCCCTTTGCTGAGCTTTATAGGGTGGTATTAGTGTTGTCAGCTAACCAAGCTCGGGATTTGGCTTTGTTTTGTTTTTGCCTCTTAAGATAATGCTATTTCTCTCTCCTGCCGAGAATAACAAAAGGGAAAGTAGAGCAATAAAACAGCACAGCCATTGACTTTGGTTTCATTAAATTGGTTTTCAGCCATCTTAAATAGACCACAGGCCTTGATGGCAGTGATGTGTGTGACTGAGTGTGTGTTTGCAGCCATGTGATTGTCCTCAAAACACAGTCACGCTTTGCCTCCGTCAGGCCTCGCTGTTGAAAGCCTTTATTCGTCCCCCCGAAAAGGAAAAAAAAAAAGACGAAGCTGGAGTTAGCATTCCAAACGCGTGGACCGACGAGTGTGTTTTCTGAAGATAAGTGCCGTTGCTCCGCGGTGAAAAAAGGGGGTGAAAGCACTTCACCTCCGTTTCATATGCATTCCAGATGTGGAAATACAACCGGACCGATCGGCGTGTAAGCATCTGCGTCCCGTTTAAAGGGCCCCGAGGTTCACTGTACTGGTTCTGCAGCCTAATCCGCCGCACAAAACCTCGCATTAGCACGCCGCACGCCGCTTATCCGACACCCATTCAAAACGTTCTGCGGAGCGTCGCCGCTCTTCTCATGTCGACGAGTGCCGCGCCGAGGCGACGGCGGAGATACGCTTCGTATGTTGCCTTTGTTGTGCTTTAAAATAAGAAGAATCCAATCTCACCTCAGTCCTTCACTCTGGATTTACTGACATCCTGAATAGATCCATCGCTACATCAAAAAAAGAAAAAACACATCTGCGTTTATCGTGAGAGGGAAATGTCAGTTTTTCTGATGTGTCAGGTCAGTTTATATAGATATATATATATATAAAACGCCTGCTTCGGGGGATATCGCTGTGTAAAAGCTGAACTGAAAGCTGTCGGCTGTAAGGAGCCGCTAAGGCACCCGAGAGAATTTTATTAGTGTGGCTCTCGCTGAGGTTCAGTGTCCCTGTGATGGTCTAATGGCTGTTTTAGAGGCTTTTCCGCTCTGTTATGTATGAGAATCTGGGGGCGACTTCCTCTTTTTTCAAACCTATATTAATTTTCTTTAAGATACCGGTCCTGGCGACCTAATTTATAACACTTCTCCTTTCCCTACATCTCTCTCCAGTGTTCTGCTGGTTGTGAAATGTTCACTTAAACTGAAGGAGTGGCGTAAATGTAAGATCTTTAAACCGCTTTAACCCTCTGGGAGCTCGGCCATTTCCTCCCATGACTGCCGCCTCAGACATCATGCTATACAAAAAAATTACTGCGAGGCACAAGCAAGTAATGGATATAACGTCTTCAGCATGACCTGGGCTATTTAAATATGTATACTGCAAAGACAGTAATAGTCCCACAGAGGTTTAAACCCAATGGATTGACCGACAAATGAATTGCTGTGTGGTGGAAAGGGTTTATTTTATGCTTCTTGGTGCAAAGATGCACAGTGGTGATATGTGCAGAAATTCAACACCGAATCGTCGCCTCATGACCCTAAACAATTCAGAGAAGAGTTTGGAGAATTGCAGCTTTTATTTTACGGCACAAAAGTGCAGGGCAGCGCTGTTCTGCGAGTGAAAATGGAGTTTCGAGGTGCAGTTTCAGATTCGAACGGGTTTAGAGTAGTCGAACCTTATTAAGGAGATAAGGAGGAACGCTTTAACCCTTGTAAAGGCATTCAAAGTGTATTCACCAGCAGATAGCGACGACTGCGATTTTAACACGATCTGTGTCATTGAAGATGTGCTTCTAAGCTCCTAACCGTCCGCCTCTTGTCTTCCCCAACAGTAACGGCACGGCCGGAAAGATGAACGGGGCGCTGGAGCATTCGGACCAGCCAGACCCGGACGCCATCAAGATGTTCGTGGGCCAGATCCCGCGCTCCTGGTCGGAGAAGGAGCTGAAGGAGCTGTTTGAGCCGTACGGCGCCGTCTACCAGATCAACATCCTCCGAGACCGCAGCCAGAACCCTCCACAGAGCAAAGGTACAAACATGTCGTCATTTATACCTGCAGCTGGTAAACGTCCGGTCGTGTGGAGGGAGTTTGTTTCATCATTCTTTCTCTTTTGCATTTTCCCCACACATAAATAGACGTATACAAACATGCAGATATATGTCGATGTATCCGTGCAGGCAGAAAACACAACCTCGGTACTCTATGCTGACTTCTACCCACACAGAGGCAGAGTGAAGTGAGCGACAGTGGAGGCCCGTCCCACCTATTTAATGGCAGAACAAATGATATATGCGCAAAATTACATGAGCAAACACATATTTCGTGCACCATTTGAAGACAAAGACTCGCCCTGCCAGACTTACACAGTCAATTGTGCGAAACGGCATGATTTGCAGCTATTTTCTCCCATTCCCTTTCTCTTTCCCCTTGATGAATTCGTCAAGTGTGAGAGCAAACAATAGAGACAGCAGCAACGAACGGGCAGACAATAGCGTTGCCATATTAACAGGCATCAACCGGAGTGGGGGCTGATGACACTCCTGATGAGACATGGAGAGTGGGAGGAAAGTAAAGAGAGGACGCCAGGAAAGGGAGACGTGGCGCTTCCATCCAACTGTAAAGCAAATTTCAAGAGAAGTTTCAAAGTGTCACTTGAAACAAAAATGAATCGAGGGGGATGAAGCGAATAAAGCCGGTAAACACTCAGGAGCTGAATCAAGGAGTTGTAATTTTTGGGCAAGTTGATCTTCAACATGGGTGCCTTTAAATGCCTCGTGATGTTTTAGTGTTGCAGCAAATCCACAGAGCGTAGCTCCACATTAGCACGGCAATGCATTTAAACGCCACCAATTTAACATGTCGGATGCATTTTTAGGAAATCGGTGCTTTGCAGTCGTACTCTGTGCTGGAGTCTAAGTAGGAGGTCTGCTTGTTGTTTTGGTGAATAAAACTCATTACGTTTGACACCAGAGACAGGGTTCACGTCCTGGGTCCTATGTAATGTCTGGCTTTGGCTACTAAAACACAAATTATGGTTGGGGAAATATTGCGGTTTTGGTTAAATGTTGAGAAAGTCAATGCGTTCCATCTTGTGATTCAAATTGCTGTTGACATATTCAATTTAACGAAGGCCACCATCTTTCCTTAACCATTTCCAAGTGTTATAAATTGCCTAAAATTGAGTTACTAGTTCCCTCCGATTCCAATGGATCCCAGAAGTGTCTGCATGTCGACTGCAGTGGAAACTTGAAATGCAAAAGAAACCCAATTGTAAATATTTGTCCCAGGCCGCCTCATAGTTTAAACCGGTGATGTGTGCCAAAATATTCAGATCTGTTTATTATGAATGTTATGTTATTATGTTAATTGAATTGTAGTTTTGGGTGGAATTCAGTTTCCTAAAAAAAACAAATGAGCTAATGCCAGTCAGACCACATTGTGCCAGGACCATAATGACACCAAGACCAGAGTCTATCGAGACCAGAATGTTGACCTGGACCAAAGTATACAGAGACCAAGACAGGACCAAGACCAGACTGTACCAAGACCAAGAAAAGACCAAGATTAAAGTATACGGAGACCAGAACAAGACCAAACCCAAAGTATACCATGAAAGAGCTAGACCAAGACCAGAATATACTGACACCAAGACAAGACCAAGACCAGCGTTTACCAGTACCAGTATAATACTGAGACCAGAGTGAACCAAGACCAAAACCAGAGTTTATCGAGACCAGAGTGTTGACCAAGACCAAAGTATGCAGAGACCAAGACCAGACTGTACCAAGACCAAGACTAGACTTCACCGACACCAAGACAAGACCAAGATTAAAGGATACCGTCTAAGGACTAGACCAAGACCATAGTATACTGACACCGAGACCAAAATGTACTGTGTGTAATGACACCAAGACTAAACCAGAGTTAACCAAGACAACAGCAAGATTGGCGTATACCAACACCAAGACAAGCCCAAGACCAGATTGTACTGTGACTAAGACAAGACCAAGACCAGAGTGTACCAATAGCAAGACAGGCCCAAGACCTGAGTCTACTGACACCAAGACGAGACCATGACCAGAGTGTACATACAGCCTGTGGCACTGAAGCAGGTTGCTAATATTAGCTAGTTAGCATTGCAAAGACGTAGTTAAGCTTTCTTTATATTTATAAAATTTGCTGTTTTCTTTTGGATGCTGTTTTGCAGATGAACTCTTTGTGGTTAGCATAGCAAAGGTTCAGAAAAAACAGCCACGGTTTCTTGTTGGAATAATTACCTTAACAAATAAATCCGACAAGGCAGAGGCAGTTTAGTGACATTGTCCCCGCAGTTGTAGTACTGACTGGTCTTGAAATAAAATCCTGAGTCCTCTTTATTTGAGGCCGAGACAAGGGCGAGTACAACTGGTTAATTTAGCGATGAGACCTTCAGAAAGTGGCCTCGAGACCACGATCGACCTCGAGTACTCCAGCATTACCATTCTGTTTAATATGAATGTAATGTTTAGGAAGGACACGCAATATAGTGCAATGGGTGTCTTATGTGAGAAGCATGTGTGACGTTCATTTACGATCCTTTGCTGGAGTATTTATTCCCACTGAATTGTTCGTAGTTGTTTTGCACGATTCCGGTTTTCATAAAAAAATCCTCCTCGGACGAGCGTAAAACCCGTTTTGTCGGAGAGGCAGGTGAGGTCGTGAAAACACTCCGAATTATGACATCCTATTGAGTTTGTGTGTTTGAAGCTGAATTTAATTTTCGCTGGCAAAAAAGATGTGGCGTCCTTCACCCTCCTGCACCTACACACTCCACCTCAGTCTGCTTCTGTTTTTAGTGTTTCTCTCTCTCTGCTTTTTTTTTTTTTTCCTCTCTCTCTCTCTTTCCTGGCTTCCTCTCATTCTGCCTGAGTCATATGAGCTTATGAAAGCCTGGAGACAGCGTTCTGCCAAGACCCAAATCAACTCATTTTTTGCACACCAACACACTTGTCATGCGCTTTGTGTTTGTGTGTTCTTAGCCTTGAGATGACTCCTTCCCTCCCCACCAGTTCCTTCTTTTTCTATCTGCTGTTTCTGAGCGAGGGGTTGGGCCATAGTTCCCCTTTTTTCCCGTCCTTCATCTCCATCAAATCTCCTGCTTCCATCTTCACTACCCTTGAAATGAGTTGTTTTTCGTGGCTGATGAGTCAAGAGTATCACTCCAAAAAAAAAAAAAAAACACAGCTACCTATCATGCCTTTCATTTTTTTCTACTCAAAATGACAATTTCTCTCTATATGCCTCATTTTTCCGCCGTGCAGTCTCTCGTTCTGTGCTGTGAGGTGGAGTGTAATAAGAGGAAATGTAGCATTTGATTGGGCTCTTACTGGCCTTGTTATTCACAGGCTTTGAGCACTGTTGTTGTTTTCTCATAGTTAAGTAAGCCGCCTGGCCTCATCTGCACCCGTTCAGCCGAGGGGAGCCGCAACGGCCCCCTCGCCGGCTCCGCTGCTGAAATTTCACCAGTGTCAGGGAAACTGTGGCCTCCTTCTTCCCTCAGTGTGTTTATTTTAAATTAGCGACGGTGTTGTTTGAAAAGGATCTCGGCCCATTTGGGGCAAATGAACTCACTCCGGTGCCCCAGCGGTGACCCAGAGGCACTTCTCTTTTTTTCCCTTCTCTTTGTGAAACGGCGCTTTGGATTTAAACGAGTTTGTTAGTCCCAGTGAGACGCAAGGGGGGGAAAAAAAAAAAAGAAAAAAGTTTCAGCTACAAGCCAGTGCAACTTTTTCTCTTCTTCCCCCTTTTCCGTTTTGTTTGCGTCCTCATTAGCCGACACTTCGGCAACTGCTAGCCCAAAAAACAGAACATCAACAGCAAAAAGATGAAAACAGCGCGACGTGGTAAACATTAAATGGCAGCAGAAATTTGGAAATGCGAGATCGCTTCCAAATGAAATGCTCAACTCATAAATTTATGGAGGATACATGAGCCTGAAAAACAAGACGGAGTCTAGTTAGTCTGTAGATTTCCATTACGTAGCCTGATTAGGACACGAGTGTTCCTCTGTTTTTTTCTATCTCTGAATAATTGTACATTTGAAGGAACAACATACTTCATCAAGGAAGAACTTTGGTTTAAATGTTCACAATTAGCTCCAGTTTCTTACGTTGGAACTTTCAGCTGGAGTGATCAATACGTAAACGACTGATCTAACAATGGTTTAGCAAGATAACTTTGGGTTTAATGTTGGGTTCAAACTTCTTATCTCGGTGCATCCCCATGGTAGATTAGGCCAAACTTACTCTGCAGCAGGTTATATTTGAGATAACAGATGTACCTCCTTCTGTTCAATCAGTTGTCTTGGAAAATGGTGGCACCATCCTTAGAAGATCCCATGAAGCTTTTTGCATTGATAGTGAGCGATGACAAAAGTTTTTAGAGACCGTCTTCATGGAACAAACCATGTAGGATCCAACAGCAGAAGACTGCAACTGGTCAAGGATGTAAAGGAGGCAGAACAATGGTGCTCCGAGTCTAACCAATCAGTATTTATCTCCTCTAGCAGTTTCTCAGGGACGTTCTGAAGTGCCGACCCTGGAGTAGATCTTCTCCCCAGAAAACAGCCCTGAAGGTTCTATGTGGTGGTTCTTGCCCCTAAAAGCGGCCTTCAGATTCTAGCAGTGGGAACCGGTCTATAGATTCTCAGTGGTGGGAACTGCAACTATTCCTTGCTTTATTTTTTTAATTATTTTTTTTCCTTTCTCCCTGTTGGCTGCAAACAGTCGTATTGTCAAGTTAAATTACCGTCATTTATACGGCGCATTTAAAGCAGCAGCCGCTGCGCCAAAGTGCTTTCCAGCGGGAAAGCGAGACTGGCGTTACAAATTAGCCCCCAACAGTTATATTATATGATGTAATATTGAGGTTAAGGTTCTACGGTGTTATTTGTCGTGTAAATTTACCCGAGTAATTTAAACGTTAGAGGTTAAAACCCTATAAAAAGGATGTGAAATACGACTTTACTGGACTGTAGTGACGTCTAAGAC